TTGTCTTATCTTATCTTTTTTTTCTTCTCTTATCGTGTCTTATTTATCATATCTTATCTTTTCTTTCTTATCTTGCCTTGTTGTGTATTTTATCTTATCTTGTTTTGACGTGTCTGTCTTATCTGATCTCGTCTTGTCTTATCTTTTCTTATCTTTTCTTGTCTTATCCTATCTTATCATGACAATGTTCTCCGATGGTTCCAGTGCATACTAGGTGGCGAGGTGGCGGCTGCCGACAGATACAACGCCAGTTTTTACGCCGCCTTCAGGTCCCGGAGCATTTACGAAATTGTTGCCGAGTATGCTCAGGTTGGTACAGCGATCATGTGACTGATGGAAACCGCTCACAGCTTGTACTTGTATACCCCCCGGGGAGGTCCTACTGACTAAAGTGGCTTTAGGCCATTCCCAAAGGGGTGACATTAACACGTTCTTGTGCGCAGTAGAAGAATTGTAAATGGGCTGATTTATCAATGTCATGCTCATAACTGTGCCTGAACTGCAATGGGGAACTTCTGCTTTTTCTTTCCTAATCCTTACTATGGTCATTTTTTCCTCTACTTCTTTTGTATGTTTGTCACTCTCTTGTGATCTTGTGACTCGCTATTTCCAGGGTGCCTTGATAGTCGAAGCAGACTTTGTGCTGTTGAGGCTAGAGAGGTGAGCAGAGTAAGTCTGATTCCCCGTTTGACTTCTCTGTTGACATCCACTCCTTGGCGCTCATAGGACGTATGCAGTTGCGAGCGCCGTTAAAAACTCTACTAAAACTAAATAATACTCATATGGGATAGAGTGCTATATTATAATAATAATAATAATAATAATAATAATAATAGTAATAATAATAATAATAATAGATAGCATTTGTATAGCGCATATCTCCACTCAACAGCAGGCTCTATGCGCTTTACACTATATTATTACCCCAGCAGACCATAGAACACTCCGAAACATTCTCAGCTTCCCGGGAAGCATATAAAATAATCAATGTATTATCTATTTCTATTATTATTATTATTATTAATTATTTCTATTATTATTATTATTATTTTTATTATTATTATTATTATTATTATTATTATTATTATTATTCTCCTCGATCGTATCAAAGTTGAAGAGTTGGTGGTTGGCGGGTGCTCTGGTGTGGTTTACTCCTTTTTTCCTGTCGCACATCTATCTTTCTTATCTCTCCTCCCTTTTTTTTTTTTGAACTGTGTGTTACTCTCTAGTAACACCTCTAATCTTCAACACTTATATTATGACCAATTTGCATTGTAGGTGCTGTAAAAGTCTTATCAAGCGGGTGGTTGGAGGGTGCCATCTGACTCTGTTCTTTCCCTCAGTTGTTTCTGTCTATCTGTCTTACTTCCTTCCTGCCCATTTTGAACATTACTTATGTCGATGCCCTTCTCTGTACTCAAACCAAAGATGGTATATAACAAGATGGGCCACTCAGCCAAAGATAGTATATAACAAGATGGGCCACTCAGCCAAAGATGGTACATAACAAGATGGGCCACTCAGCCAAAGATGGTACATAACATGATGGGCCACTCAGCCAAAGATGGTACATAACAAGATGGGCCACTCAGCCAAAGATAGTAAATAACAAGATGGGCCACTCAGCCAAAGATAGTAAATAACAAGATGGGCCACTCAGCCAAAGATGGTACATAACAAGATGGGCCACTCAGCCAAAGATAGTAAATAACAAGATGGGCCACTCAGCCAAAGATAGTAAATAACAAGATGGGCCACTCAGCCAAAGATGGTACATAACAAGATGGGCCACTCAGCCAAAGATGGTACATAACATGATGGGCCACTCAGCCAAAGATGGTACATAACAAGATGGGCCACTCAGCCAAAGATAGTAAATAACAAGATGGGCCACTCAGCCAAAAAAGTGTCCGCAGGAAGCATGCTCTTTGCTTCAGATGGCGCTGCAGTCTGTTTTGAAGCTCTCTTTCGTTTTTCCAGAAGAAGAATAGGAATAGCACCTCCTTGCGTGCGCAGATCGACTGCGGTTCATCAGCAGTTCGGGTTCGTTCAGTGCAGAGTTTTAGGTTTTTTATATTTTAATGATCTCTCGCCCTTCATTCTAAAGTCAAATTAAACGAAGAAAACAATCACCTTTTCCTCCGGAAGAGGCTTTATGTCAGCGTAACCATTTTAAAAAAGCGTTCTTCCGAAATTCATTAAAAAACTTGCTAGTTTCACTTTGATTTTTTAAACTCAAGTAGGATAACTCTGTTCGCTAAAGGTGCGCTTTTGTGAAGAGGGCGCCACCGAATTTTGAGGACACTTTTTTAATTGGCTCAAAGAGAGAAGTGGCCCCTCTTGTTATGTAGACTCTTTGCTCAAACCCAAAAACTCTTACTAAAGCTAAAATAAACCAAATATGTTGTGTGCTTTCTGAAACGTGCTGTTTTTTGTGTGTTCTGACACATGCTGTGTTGTGTGTTCTGGAACGTGTAGTATTGTGCATGTTCTGACACGTGCTGTGTTGTGTGTGTTATGTGTTTTGACAAGTGCTGTGTTACTTGTGTGTGTTGTGTGTTCTGACTCGCGCTGTGTTGTGTTTGTTGTGCGTGTTCTGACACGTGCTGTGTTGTGTGTGTTCTGACACGTGCTGTGTTGTGTGTGTTGTGATATGTATTGTGTGTGTTCTGACACGCGCTGTGTTGTTTGTTGTGCGTGTTCTGACACGTGCTGTGTTGTGTGTGTTCTGATACATACTGTGTTGGGCCTGTTCTGACACTTAGCTGTGTGAGAGTGTTCTGACACGTGCTGTGTGTGTGTGTTCTGACAAGTGCTGTGTTGCGGGGTTCCTGCATC